TTTTCTTTTCTTAGCATTGTACTCAGTCATCACAAGATGGCTGCCGCTGAGCATCGGCTAATAATTTACTCTGCTTGGTGGAGGCTGTTTCCAAAAACTGCATTCCATGAAGTTCCCAAAGACCTGCCTACATCAATCAAACAATTGCTGAACTGTAATAGACCTATCCTCAATCCAAACCTGAATAAAATCTATTTTCCCTATTGTTAAAACTTTGAACTGAGGGAACCAGCAGTTAGCTTAATGGCTATGTCGCTGGACTCCCACGTAGTCGACCGCGGTTCGCGTCCCGAACCCGGTGGCTTAAAACTCATGCCGGGCGCGTGTGCATGTGTGCCCAAGATCCTAAGAGGAGAATGGAGAAGGGATTGCAGCGTGACCATCCCCCCTGGGGGTGGTTTCTCGCTTTCTGTCTCTATGTCTCTCTCTGTCTGGCGAGCACACGCGCCCTATAGCAAAATAAAACCTCTCCAAAAAAAGAAAAAAAAAATTTAAACTGACAATTAGAACACGTAGCCCCTCACCCGTTTACTTGCATGTATCACATTTTCAATAAAAAGACACGGTGATTCCTAGCAGTTGTCACTCTACAGAGAGCGATCTCTGAGGGTGTCCAACTGAGGGCATGCACGAAAAAGGCACCGAGGCATCAGTCTTTCCTTCCTGCGCCACCTCCGTCGAGATAACCCATCCCTGCCGAGGCTGGACCCCGGCACTTTTGTACAGCCTAAAGAATATTTTTTTAAAGGACTGTGATAGGATAAAAACGTGACTGAGATCACATATAGGTCTTGAAGCCTAAAATGTGCATCGTTTGGCCCTTTACGGAAAAAATGTCCTGACTCTAACCACTTATGCCTATAGTTCAAGGAAGAATTGTTGGCGCCCGTATGTAAGCAGGGGTGAGTCTCTTGTCCACAGGGTTTGCCTATGGAGTGAGGCTTCCTGATGGTTGCAGGTACCTTCTTTTTCCACTGCAAACTAGGTGGGAGGTACAGGGATCCCCAGTAGGCCTTTACAACACAAGCCAAAATACACATGCAGGAACCTTAGATGTTTTCTTTCCATGGCCTACCTCACTTCACAAGAGTGCCCAGGAGTAATGTCGCCCACACAGCCGCTTCGACAAAGGGCACGTGAAGTATCACAGGCTCAGGAAAGCTTGCCACGCTCTATTTGCCAAGAATAAGGATAAGAATCAGAGCCCACCCCCCAAATAAAATTACAGTAGCAATAGGGACTGTGTCAAGAGAATCCGTGTATTCCCCGCTTCTTGGTGACTACATGCAAGATTCATACTAATGTAAGCGTTCTCTTAATTAATTCTTTTTAGTCATAAGCTATGAAGGCTGTAACTTAAATAGATTTGGTGACTGTTCTGATTTGAAAGGCTTTAATGACACTGGACCAAGTTCTTGCCTTACAAAACTTTAGTATAAAACTTAGTTACAGAGAACCAGCAGTTAGCATAATGGCTGTGTCGCTGGACTCCCACGTAGTCGACCGTGGTTCGCGTCCCGGACCCGGTGGCTTAAAACTCACGCCGGGTGTGTGTGCGTGCGTGCCCAATATCCCAAGAGGAGAATGGAGGAGAAGGGATTGCGGCGTGACCATCCCCCCTGGGGGGTGATTTCTCACTTTCTGTCTCTATGTCTCTGTCTGTCTGGCGAGCGCACGTGCCCTATAGTGAAAAACCTCTCCAAAAAAAACAAAAACAAAAAAACTTAGTTACAAACCTCATGGGAGCATGGCAAATGTACATGTTTGAAGATTTAGTTTTTATTCATATCAAGGTTAATAGACTTTGTGTCCAGAAAAGCCACCACCCACCCCTTTCCATTCTTTAGGAATATTTTATAAAGGTCCTTTGTGTATTTTTCTTTCAAGGAAGAGGTCGTTAATTTAGTTACCTATATTGCTCCCATCTGTGCCTTAATTTTTAAAATACATGATCAGTTTGTTAATTACCAAGTAACATACAGAAATAAAACCAAGTTTTTCAAAACATACCACAACTGTGAAAATAATTTTTTCTTCTCTGGTGGACATATTTTTGCAGGTCTTCATTTAACTTGCTGGAAGAAAGTGATTTAATAGGTCAGTAGTAGCCTTAATTTTTAAGTCTTCATTCATATTCAGGTGTCTAATACTAGAAACTAGCAATAGAGGACTCCTTAATAAAATGTACAAGAAATTAAAATCCCAGTATTTACCATCATAAACCTGAAAAGTCACTAACTTTATAACTCAGTCATTTTATTGCAATACAGGCACCATTTAGAAATATTTTCAGAAGTTTTTAAAATTTTAAGCTTACCGGGCTTTTCAAATGAATGAATTTGTAGTTGGCATAATGACTGTCGATGGACTCCCATGTAGTAGGCTGCAGTTCGAGTCACAGACCCGGTGGCTTAAACTCACACTGGGTGCATGTGCGTGCTTGCGTGCCCAAGATCCCGAGAGGAGAATGGAGGAGCAGGGATTGCGACATGACCATACACTCTGGGGGGTGATTTTTCGCTTTCTGTCTCTCACTTTTCTGCAAAGGCATGCGCCCAAAAGCAAAAACCCCAAAAAAAAAAAAAAAAAAAAAGTCAGAGTCTCCCAGAGTAGTTTTAAAATCTAATTGACACTACTTTCCAGTTATTGATCTGGTTGTTTGGTTCATTCAATCACATCATTGGGCTGCTGTCTGTGTCAAAAGGAAGTTATAAATTTTGGGCATGTTGTTAAAGATGGTTCTAGAAGCTGTCTGCAGCCATGTGTTTTCCTGTGGGAAGCACTCAAACCCGGAGGTAGGTGTGCCTGTGTATCTTAAGATTTGCTTGAAGACAGGTCACCATTAAGTGGCACAACCGTAGAGACTAAGTGCACATATAGTGGAATGTATCAAACCTACATGTGAAAGTTTCAAGGAAGTGTCATTAAAAAGACCATGTGCAGGCCCGCCAGGTGGCATGGTGGTTAAGATGGCTGGATCCCAAGCAGCTTGGCTTGAAAACACACTGCCCGTGTGTACATGCATGCCCAAAATCCTGAGAGGAGAATGGAAGAAAAGGGATTAGGGTGTGGCCATCACCCCTGGGGGGGGGGGAGGGTGCTGCCATCACCCCTGGGGGATGCTTTCACACTTTTTCTTTCACAAGTGCACGTACTTTGTAGCAAAAACTCAAACAAGGCTATGCAGATATGTAATATCATTTTACCACAGTGCCAAAACCAAATCCCTGTCAATAGCAGAGGGAATGGTGGTAGGACTTGAGTTGGAAATCCATAGGCATGTTAGATGGTGAGCCAGTTCTCTTTTTCTATTTGTTATTTATAGTACCACTGGCTTGCAAAATAAAACCAGGAAAAAATATAAGACAGTAAAAAATTACCATAAGGTTTTAATTTTGCAACCTCACCACAGAGTGCTCCTCCATACAAGTTACTCAGCTTCTCTGTGCATTGGTTTTTCTTACTTGTGCAAAGGATGTTAATAATTTATTTAAGATTAAAAAGAAATATGAATGATCTAATTCGATCTCTGCCTTTCGGCACTCAATGAATAGATTACCTTTTCAAGTAAGGAGCCTAAACAAAACCCTATGTTGATAATTACGATAGGTCATATGATCTGTGATTGAAACTGAAATGCATATTATCTTAAAGATAAACAAGCTAAGGAAAAAAAAATCAAGGCTAGTGTAAGCCTTTTCTTTTTAGTTTTTAGTTTTTTGTTTTAGGATGTGTGGCGTTAAGTCTTTTTTTCTTTATTCACACCAATGGAATATCTTTAATCCAAAATACTTGGGACCAAAAGATTTTATTTTTCAGATTTTGGAATGGTATTTTTTGTGAGATTTTTGCTATAGGGCACGTGCACTCACCAGAAAGAGACTGAAAGCAAGAAATTACCCCCCTATGGGGGATGGCTATGCTGCAATCCCTTCTCCATTCTCCTCTTGGGATCTTGGACACACATGCACACGTGCCCGGCATGAGTTTAAGCCACCGGGTCCAGTACTCGAACCACAGTGCAGAGGCACAGTCATTATGTCAACTGCTGGTCCCCAGGTTTTGGAATGTTTACACACAGAAAATGAGATGTCTTGACAATGGGACCCACATCTAAACGCAGAATTGATTTCACATATTCCGTATATGCATATCCTGAAGGTGACCTCGTATTTTTGTACTGTAGCGTTTTGGCCTATCACATGAGATCGGATGTGGAGTTTTCCACTGTGGGGTCATGGGAACACTCAAAAAGTTTCAGATTTTGGATTTAGGAAGCTCATCCCAATTCCCTAGTGCCTTCCTTGTATCTGCTCATAGACAACAAGACACGTCTGTGGCCCCGCCCCAATGAGAGAGGCTGCACAGGCAGCCATAGTGTCACAAATCTAGGGTCCAAATGCTCCTCACCCGCCCCAACCGTCCCTCCCCCTAACCGCCCCCCCCCCCCATACACCCAAGCACTCACATGCTTTGGCATACTAGCAGCAAGTTTGTGTTTAAGGCAGGAGTACGTTAGCTTGTGCTTGGAGATGACCAGCCCTAAGGGGAAAGGGATAGGAGAAGCCTAACAGCTTTGCCCCTGCAAGCATACCTTACTGTTATGGGGTATCCCTTTCTCTGTACTTGGTGAAACAGAGTCAACAGCTGGTGCCAACCGGAAGCATTTATGTCAGCTTTTACCCCCGGGATAGGATGCCAGGCCACTGTGTAAAGACCACGTGATCCCATGGGCCGCACGAGTCCTAGTCGTGCTCTTCTGAGCACTAGGAGCTCTGCGGTAAGGCTCACATCCATGGGAAAAGGGCAAGAGGGAATGCCGCGGCCTCAGCAGCTGCCTGCTACTAAACTATCTACAGTATCTACAGTAAGAGACTGAGAGTGAGTTACAGGTTCCTTCAGTGCTGCTCAGGGCCCCCTGTGGGGAAAAGCGGAGGTGCAGTTTCTCTGTTGGAACTAGCTAAATGTACTGTATTAGTGCATCCTCGGGTACCAGCGTGTCAGCTTGAAGGAAGAATGCCCGTGTACCACGTTATTTGAATGGTCAAAAGTGGGGGCTGAAAAGATGAATTTCCTGCGTCACTAACCTGCAGGGCCCGTCCTTTGGTCTCGATGGGGAGAGTAAATGCAGAAATGGCGCATACGACACAGACCGATGAGAAGAGACACAGGGCCCCCAGGAACGACGCGCTCATAAGAACCTGCAAGTCACAACAGAGTAAAATGAGGGTCCACCTTACCAAATGCATACACGATGGTCCTTGTGATGGTCCTTTGCAGCCACTCCAGAAGGTATGTGGGAATGACAGATCAGCTCATCAGGGGTGTGGACTGGTGTTAACACACGTTAAACCTTTCTGCACCTACCTGTCAGGCAGCTCCAGGCAAATTTTAGAGAATAGCTCTGTTTCTCCATCCCCTCATGCCAGTTTGGCTTGCTTAACTATTATTTATTTATTTGTTTATTTATTAAGAGAGATTTTTGCCACAGGGCATGTGTGCTTGCCTGAGAGACACAGAAATCACCCACTAGGAGCATGGCCACGCTGCAGTCCCTTCTCTTCCAGCCTCTTCTCGGGATTTTGGGCACGTATGCAAATGCTCTCTGCACGTTTTCTAAGCCACTGACTGGATCTGGGGCTCAAACCACTGTCATCTATTTGGGAGTCCAGCGACGTAAGCATTACACCATCTGCTGGTCTGCTGGTCCCCAGCCTGCCTAACTTCTAACCCTCTCACTTCACGTTATTACCTCGTGGTCAAACGAGTCTTTCCCCAGCAGTTCTGACAGAACCAAACAGTTTTGTGGAAGACACGGAACCCCAGCATCTCTGTAAAGATTCTAATGTTTCTTGCCTCTGTTCAGAATGTCTAGAAAACCAGTCAATACTAGCATCCATTTTTTCACAATAAGAATGGATCTCTGCCAAGCTGTGTACATCCTGGATCTTTTCACCCTAATGCTGGCTAATTCAGACACTCCATTTTATACTTTCCTTTCTTTAGGACTGTGTCCAGAGTTGACACACAGCCAAGCACGTGATAGTTGTCCACTGTCAAGTGACTGAGGGGCAGCAAGACTCTTAAAGTCACAGAATATTGTTTTAGGAAGTCCTAGAACGTATCTCGTTAGTCCAACATCCTCACTTTACAGATGAGCACAAACTAAGTGACCACTCTCAGTAAGCACTTGTCCATAGTCACATACAGATTAACACACAGTCTAGAGTTAGTGTACCACTTAGATGTCCTTAGGATCACAATTTGGGAGCCCAACCCCAGTGTGTAAGACCTGCCGCCTTCCAGAACAGTAAATAATTCCACTACCTCGCAAACAACCCATGCTATTAACGTCACCATTTTGCAATAGGCATATCACTTGCTGGGTACCTATTCTCTGATTTTGTCTCCCAAAACAAATGACAATTTTCTTCAAACAAAAGTGTAACCTGTGTGTTCATGTCGGTTGCTGGAAGTCTGAAAAATTCAGCTCAAGACAGCAGTAGACACTGAAAGAGGCCAGGCAGTTTGACCCATGATCAAATCATGTCATGGCTGCCACTTCTGTTCCTGGACAAAAATTCCTGTCACTAACAATGAATTCTAAACTATTGCCCTATTTCGCACTCTTTGCACAAGAGTCAAAGTCCTTGGTGTGAAACCCTGGTGTGTTGCATGTAGGTGACAATTGCTCCACCACCCAGGTTCAGGGAGAGCAACTGCCTGGTCTTTTCAGTTTCCCTAGCAGGATCCAGGGTTCCGCTGCGTAGCCAGGTCAGAGCCATCCAGTGGCTCTTACTGGACGTTCTTCCAATAAATCCTGCTTAAGTTAACCCGCGTCAGTCTCTATTGTTTAGAAGAACTCTGAGTTTTACTTAATAATAAGAATCGTCTGGGAATTTTGTTAAAATGCAGATTTCCAGGGGCTTCTCCAGATTCACTGTATCAAGATCTGGGATAGAGCCAGCACGTGGCATGGTAGTTAAGGCACTGGACTCCCACATGGCGGACTATGGTTCGAGTCCCAGACCTGGCGGCTTGAAAATCACCCTGGCTGGGTACATGTGTGCCCAAAATCCCAGAAGGAGAATGTAAGAGAAGGGATTGCAGCATGGCCATCCCCCTGCAGGATGATATCTCACGTTCCCTCTCAGTGCCTCTCTCTGGCGAGTTCACCTGCCCTGTGGCAAACACATAAAAAGAAGGTAAAGATCTGAGGTGGTACGAAATGACAACAAGTGACCTACCGAGAAGACATAGCAACCCTAAAGGCTAGGCACCAAATGAGAGCTCTAAAGTACGGTCAACCCGAACTGATCATGACGAAAGGAGGAATAGACAAGTCCACATACCAGCTTCAGTACCGCCTTCCCAGCAGCTGGTCAGAGCTACTCAACGGCAGAGCAGCAGGCGTGCAAGGAAGCGGGACACAACTGACTGCTGGCATGAGTTCGCGCATGTAGAATGTGCACAGAACAGCTACACAGGTGCACTCTTCTCGAGCACTCATGGAACAGTTACCAGAATAAAGCATCTCCTGGGCCCGAAAATGGATAATATATATATAAGACACATATATGTATGACTGTATACTCATAAATAAATTGTGACTAGATCAAAGTATTTTATATGAAACATTGAAAGCCTTTTTGAAATATTTATAAAACATTGAAAGCTCGTAGACATAGAGATGAATACAAGTGATGAAGGCCATTTAAGTATGATGTAAAATAAGAATATCAAGAGTGAAAATAATTGGTAACTTGACTACAGAAAACTTAAACATTCTGCATGTATAAAAACTTGAAAGTGGGCCAGCCAGTGGCATGCTGGTTAAGGTGGCTGGACCCCTCATGGCTGACTGTGCTGGTTTCAGTCCAACTCAGTAGCTAGAAAAATACAACCCCCTGGGGCTGGCAGGTGGCGTGGTAGTTAAGGGTGCTGGACTCCCACATGGCCACCTGCAGTTCGAGTCCCAGACCTGGTGGCTTGCTTTCTATCTCTCTTTCTCTGTCTTGCTCTGTCGCTCTCTCATCAAATTAGAATCTCACATGACTGACTACAAGGTTCAAGACTTGTGGGGCTTAAACACTCTGGGTGCATGTATGTGTGTACACAAAATCCTGAAAGGAGGGAGATGAAGGAGAAGGGATAGCAGCATGGTCATTCCTCATAGTGGATGCTTTCTCACTTTCTCATTTTCTCTCTCTCTCTCTCTCTCTCTCACTCTGTCCCTCTCTGGTCAAATTTAAATAAACAAATGAATAAATAATAAAGTTAAATAAAATAATTTTTAAAAAGAAAGAAGGAAAAATACAACCCTTACACACACACGCACACACACAAGGTTATTAATGAGAAAAGGAATTGCAATATGTAGGTGAGTGTGTTTGTACACAAACAAATCTGCACATAGAGTCACACAGAGGTAGCTACATGGTGTGAAAAAGAGTGATTCCTTTTGATGTTCGCTGCCAGCTTTTAAGCTTCACCCACTCTTTTTCCCTGTGCCCTAATACCCAGTCAAGCTGACAAGGAAGCCTGCGTGCTTGAATTCCAAGGGGAGCCTTCAACTACTCAAGCCCCTGCCCCAACCGGGCAATCCTCAGCTCAGCGCTGCCCCCTAATGGCGAGGAACACTCTGTGCACACCGTCTCGGGATCGTCAACCATTTCTATTACTTACTGTCTCGGGCCATTTCAGACCTTCCCGAGAGGACTGCCCTGCTCTCCTAGAGAGCCCAAATTCTTTTCTTTTTTCTTTTCTTTTTTTTTTTTAAGAATTATTTAACTTTATTTATTTTAATATGACCAGAGATGGACAGAGTAAGAGAAAGAGAGAGAGAGACAAAGTGAGAAAGCAAGCTGCCAGATCCAGGACTCAAATTGCAGTCAGCCATGTGGGAGTCCAGCACCCATAACCACCACGCTACCTGCTGGCCCTGCCCGATTTTTTTAAAAAAGATTTCTTAAATTTTATTTGTTATTATTATTTTTTACTTTTTATTTATTAATTTATTTTTTTCTTAATTTGACCAAAGTGAGGCACAGAGAGAGAAAGAGAACATGAGAAAGCAAGCCACCATGTCCAGGACTCGAACTAGGGTTGGCCATGTGGGAGTGTCCAGCGCCTTAGCCACCTCGCCACCTGCTGGTCCCTGTTATTATTTATTTTTAATTTTACCACAGAGACAGAGAGAAGGAGAGAAAGGAGAAGTGAGAAAGCAAGTCATCAAGTCCAGGACTCGAACTGTGGTTGGCCATGTGGAAGACCAGTACCCCAACCACCATGCCACCTTGTCAGCCCCAGAGACCCCGATTTTATAATTAGGTTAGGAAACTTCTCATCTCCTCTTGGTGAGTATGCAGGGTCGTGGGTCTTAACATTTGAAACAAACGTTTTTGTGAGGGGACCCATTGCTTCTTTAAGTGACCATAACCCATAGATATAAGTAGATAGATAGGCAAACATTCATGGAAGAAAATAGATCTATGTATTTACATGCATCCATGTGTAATGCATGTAAGAAAGACACCACATGTTTCTATCTCTATGGGAGGGGTCTTCAAAAACTTCACCAAAAAATGCACATGATAAAGACCAGCAGATGGCGTCGCTGGGCTCCCACGTAGTAGACTGCAGTTCGAGTCCCAGACCTGGTGGCTTAGAACTCACGCCGGGCACATGTGCATGCATGCCCAAGATCCCAAGAGGAGAGTGGAGGAGAAGGGATTGTGGTGTGGCCATCTCCTCTGGGGGGGGATTTCTTGCTTTCTTTTTTTCTCTCTGGCTAGTACACGTGCCCTATAGCAAAAATCTCTTTTAAAAAATGCATATTATTAAAAAAGCTATGCATGGATTTCAAAAAAATATTTTTTGCACAAAAAAAATTTATACTGACTGGTTATAACATGGCTGAACAGGATTTAATTTGAGACAGAATAAGAGAATTTGAGACAGAGAAGATAAAACAGTTTGAAAAGAGCTCCTATCAGAGCACATGAATTCTAACAAAACTATGAATAAAATGAGAAAAACATCAAATTTATGGTGGAGCTCAGGTGGAAGAAGGATGAAATCGTTGATGCTTGGGACCAGCAGTTAGCGTAATGGCTATGTCGCTGGACTACCATGTAGTCGACTGCAGTTCAAGTCCTGGACCTGGTGGCTTAAACTCATGCCAGGTGTGTGTACGCGTGTG